TCTATTCTACAAGTTATACACTTACAGCACTCTGCAGTTTACTGCTTGTACCTATTTATTTGCCCTATTGGGCCATCTGGTGTCTGGGCCTTTTTTTCCTGGGCCCGAAGTCCTCTGCGGAGTAATCTACGGCGTTTCGTAGCTCCTCAAAGGGGTGGTTTTCGGCCTTTTCGAAGGTCGTGGCTGCTTTTCTTTTTAGTAGGTCTCGTAGTGGCTCCCACTCTAGGTCCCTGTAAATTTGACGATTACGTACAAACCAGGGAGCATCTATGGTCATCCGCAGAAGTTTATTTTCTGTGGCCTGGAGCTGCCTCAGGTAGGTTTCTGCCGCATATCCCCACGCTGTGGAGGCATACGTCATGGCCGGCCTGATGACACTTTTGATGAGTAGCAGCTTATTTCTCACACTCATCTGGCTTCTTCTGTTCAGCAGGGGATACAGCGTTGCCGCTCTAGCCCTTGCCTTGTTGATTGCTGTTTTTACATGTTGTAGTGTCAGACATGTGCATATTGTTCCCATATATAGACATTTGTCTTAGGGCTCTAAGAGGCGGGGCTTAGTGCTGGATTGGTTTATACAAACTAGCGTTTTTCGGACGCTTGGAGAAAAACATTTTTCATCTTTTTGTTGCCTCATTTAATTAGACCTCGCTGATAAATTAGATGTTAAAAATAAGCACTAACCCTTTTCCATTTGCGTTCATGTGCGAACAACCATAATAATGTGCACATTGTACAGAACAGTGGCGTTTCCTTGTCACACCAGTGAAGCATTATGTATTATTAATCCGCATTAAAGCTGTTCTGTCGAGTTTGTGGGCATTTACAGAATGAAATTAATATGTTCGTTGCTGCATTAAGGGTATTCATTTCAGGTACAGACCGCGCGGCAGCCCCTATAATGTTGTACAACTGGTCGGGCAGAATTTTACTCATTTTAATGCAAACTTCTCGACAATGCCTTATCGTAAATTCTGGAAGACAACATGCACTTCAGCATTAAACATGTTATATTCCCCAATCAACAAAATTGCATACGTAAGTCTTCCAACGAAGCCAGTATCACATACAATGAAGAATTCTGTGTGATCATGGAAATCATTGCACTTTCACATCATTGAACTAACGTTTTGCTTTCGGAAATTTTTTTTGTGCTGTGCGCCTATTTTTGGTTGCAGTTTCTTCAACGAAGCTAATTGAGAAATGTTTGACTTTCTGAAGTAGTAACCTCTCCAAATTGTCTACAAGTTATTTTTACGTTTAAGTGTTAATAAAGTACATATGGATTTTACAATCTTAAACAGGGTGTATTACGAATTGCTGCATTTAGAAAAATAGAATTGCTCTAAAATAATTTAAAGCAGCATCTACCACTTCTGGGTATAAGAACGTAAACACTAAATCGATTATTCGCAGTGCATTGATTTTGATAATACACTTCAATTAGTTCAATCGTTGAAGGAACGAAAGCTCCAATATTTGTGACACGTAATGAGAAATGAAAACATATTTCACTTACTGCAGATTATCTTGCAAGTAAAAATATTAGGAAAACGAAGTGTGGGTAGAAGACGAATCTCATGGTTAAAAATCCTTTGAACCTCGTTTGGTATGAGTACCACTTAATTGTACTGGGCTGCAGTGAACAACGTTAATATTAGCATGTATGATGCGAAACGGATAGGAACTATAAGAGGAAACAGAATCTATAGTTCTATATATAAAGTTCTATAAAGAAATTTCAACTATAAAAAAAGGCTTCAGACCTAAGGCGGAAACCATACTTAAGAAGGAAGATGGAAGCAGAACGACCAACAAAAACGCAATAGTGGACACACAAAAAGCTAACAAAATAAACAGACTACAACCGCGTACCAAACTGCAGAACCGCAGGTAGAAAAACCCACATACGGGAGTTCCACTTCAGACCTAGTTGACGGTTTATTTTCAGTCTCTACTAATTTATTGCAATTCTCAGCATTAAATGATATTCAAAAGTTTATTTTTTCAAACTGAGGAATGGATTTCCCGAAATATAGAAGTATCTCCGATTACAATCACAAGAGTTGGTTTCAATATGCTCTAGCAATAGAATATATAGAAATAAATTATAGAAATAGTTATATAGTTATAGAAATAGTTCAATCATTTGAAAACGCAATTGGGGAGATTTGTATCAAAATTATAGATTATTTGTAACATTTTTAATGAAAGTCAAGAAGTAGACTTCAAATCATTACGAAAATCTGCGATGCAATTTGACTTGGATTTTTCGAAAAACTATGTTCATTTACCGGTACTTTCAATTCTACTTAGGAAAAAGCGCCGAAAAAAATGATTCAGTCAAAATTAATTCAATAGAAATTCCTGGGTTCCAGTCAATTTTATTGTTTATCATTTAAAATGTTACAAATGCGTTTCGGTGTTTTTCTCCACCATCAGTTTATCTAAAATATACATTCACAGTCGTCATTAGTTTAAAACAAGAGCTCTGTTAAAATATACATACTAAAATACAAATTATAAACATATTAAAAAGTATATTAAAATTGTTTGAATCTCTTGGGATTACAGGTGATGAGTCAGGACAATCATGTTCGAGAAAAGACTAGAATTTATTGTTTAGAGATTTAAATTTTATTGATATGGTTGTTTTAAAACTTGTCTTTATCTATGCTTCTAGGGTGCTCTTGTCTACTGCGCTAATTGACGTTTTCGATAGTAAAAATAAATCTCAGACTTGCAGAGCTCTATAAATAAAATATAAGTAATACCTTTTTATTAATAATTTGACGAAAAAAGTAACTTTTCATAAAAAGTCCTGCATAAAAGATACTCTAACTTTTGGGGAAAAAGTACTCGTCCTAGCGACAATTTTGCATGTGGAGTTATGCTTTATTGATACTTTAAACACGATCACGATTTAGCAGC